TTTTTAATCGAAGCGGTCTTTTATTTCTAGAACATTGTCGACAATCGATGGGGGCCTGTAATAGTAGAAGGCTTTCTATTCGTAAAAATCCGTTAATTTCATGTCGTGGACTGGGTAGTTTTTCCTAGCAGCCTTAAGCTGGCGAGATTCAACGCGATCACCCGATCTCATCCCTCGTCATTTGCTTGCAGCAGTGCACAGCCGATGGCAAAGTCCGGAGCGTTACAGACGACACTAAAAGAATGATCGGGGTCTGGCAACGCCAGTATTGGTGTAGGAAGAAGGCTGTTTTTGACCCTATCAAAAGCCCCCGATGCTCGGTATCCCAACACCATTCCGTATCCTTCTTAAGGAGATTCGATATTAACCGTGCCATTTCCGCATACTTTGTGATATTCTTGTGCAATTAGTTGGCGAGGCCAAGCCAATTGCGCAAGTCCGTTTGGCTCTTTGGAACCGGTCAGTTCACATTGGCCTTGACCTTAGCGGGATCCGCTCGAAGGCCATGTTTCCAATGAAGCACCTCAAAACGGAGATCTTCAGCGCCGAAGATGCTCTTATCTTCATGAAAATACAGCTTATTCGTGCGCATGCACTCGAGCATCGCTCTCAAATGGACGACGTGGTTTCCCTCATCTGTCCACCCGTGTTTCGCATGACTATGAAAGAAGACGTCGTCGAAGTATGTCTGTGCATACGTCCGGTGTAGCCTGAACAACTGCATCACACAAGACTAATAAATGTTGCTGGTGCATTTGACAGCTCTTAAAGCATCTGTCGCTCGGAGTACTCACCGCTGTTAGCGGAATTTTACTCGCTCTCATGAGCAAACGGTGATTACAACTGGCCAAGTCAAGTGCACTGTGCATTGTGTATCCGATAATGTTGTTCTGGAGATTATACTTCTTAGGAATCGGCGTATGCGCCGGAATGGCGGTGGCGTTGAGCTTATTGCAAGCATGGACGATACGCCACTTGCCGTCCGGCTTCCGGGGGAACACCGTGGGGAGACTTGATTTCACGCACTATTCATGGGTCGTACCTCGCACGGAAGAAGGCGACAATGACGTCACACTGCAACTTGGGCAGGGGCAATTGGCGTGTTACGCAGTATTTGGTTCCCGGAACCAGGTCGATCTCATGACGCACACCTAGGTCCAGAGGTCGGACCGACGGCGGGTCTTTGGAGACAGCGGCTTGAACTTTCTTCACCAAAAGATAGCACGAATCCGAGGGATTCTTCAGAATCGAGGATCAACTTCTTGCGCTCAGCACCCTCTTGGTACCCCCTGGGCAGCTTCATCCAGAAGCGACGACGAGTTGATTTACTCTTCCGGTCGTATAATGACAACTTCGGCTAAGTCACCTGCCTTCAAGGCACCAATCAATCCTTTGAAGGACATCTCGTCTGACTCAAGAAGAGCATCTACCGCAGGAATAGCCTCGAGGGTGTTGTCACTGTCTTCCTCCCCCGTCATCCCGCTGACGAGGGTGTATAGCTGCGCGCTTAGACACATCCTGAACCAGGGTCGACACCCGGCGTCTTGCAGCTAGCATACCGCGTCGCTGTCACCGTCACCTCTCCACAGAGGTTCAACATCTCAGCGAGACCAGTGGGAACATGAACTTAGCGTTGTCCAGTGTTAGCTCCACTTCCTGCTTCACCAGAGCCATGATGTTATGAATAACATCCGACGAAGAGCTGCTAGATCCGCAGTCTTTGTCTAGCGGATAACGTGCCACTCCATCCGCATCCGAAGGGCCTTACCCACGATGCCTTGGACCATGCCACTATTGGCATGCAGCGGCAGCTTCGAGACTTGAGCAACGCTGAGCCTACTCCACGTGCATCACTGGGGCCTCGCCCTCGATGTCTTGGCCCTTGGTCGACCAGCCAGCACATTGACAGCCCCGGTCTAGCGCTCGCGCCAACAGCTCATCTGCTTCCTAGTAGAAGTGAGTTCATGACTCTCCAAAGCTCCACAAGAAGACGCGCGCGTAGCGCATAAGAACTTCAACCTCCAGTAGATCCATGGCTCATGGTGCTCCGACCATGCCAAACCAAGGATGAGGTCATATCTTGAAACCAAGTCTAAGACTAAGCAGCGTTCCACACTATCGAGTTCAAAAAACTTGACACCAAGTCCGCAGAAAACCTCGGTACCGTGACACAAGTTCCCGTCGCTAAGCAAACAGTGACGATGTCATTTAACCGCACATTCAGCGCCTCGGCATACAGCTGACTTCATTCTGGCGTGGAGCGTCGAGCATAATTCTCCGACGCCCCGGAGTTTATAAGGACCTTCCATGGCTTCTCAAAGCCCTTCACGATTGCTTTCACGAGCAGTAAGCCTGGCTTGCATACACGTTCAGTATAAAGATCACGGAGCTCTTCGGAACTGGGCCATGCTGATCGCTACCTCTTTGAGACTCAAGAGAGTCTAGTTCTTCCCCAGTAGGGTGCCCCGCGCCTACTGAGTGTTGTCGTTTCCCTGCGACAAACCAAAGTAGTGAGTAAGTAAGAAGTGAAACATCGGCTCGATAGATCTTGACGCGGCTTGCGCAAAGGACAACCAGTCCGAAGGTGACGAGTGTCTCCACAGACAATACACCGTCGGGCGTTCGAGCGCTGCCTAGCAGCTCGGAGCTCTGCCTCCTCTTTCTCAGCATAGCTGAGATCCATCGGCTTCACTCGACGAGCTGCTAGAGTGTGCATTCCAACCAAGTCGTGCCAACTTAAAGTTGTATCTGGCATTCAATGCCACCTTCTTTAAAAGAAGATGGGTGCACACGTAAGACTTCCATTTTGGCCACACCAGTGCGGAGCCCCACACAAAGCCAATCACTGTGATCGCCCCGGGGAGAGGGTTGGCTGCCATACCGGCAATGAGAGTTTTCAACTCCTGGACAAAGTCCACCAACTTCTTCTTTCCCCGTGAGGCGGCAAGGAAACGCGACATGCCTGATTAGGCGGCGAGAACACTCGTAAAAGCTGTAGCTTCAGTTCCGTCCAAGGGGAACGCTGTCTCAGCCGAGGTGCCGCACGTCACTGCCTATTCTGGAGCTCGACCACCGAGCTTGGAGATAGCTAGCGCTACGCGCTGTTGCTCGGTTTGGCGCTTGGCGAAAGCTATAGCCATCTCGGCTTCTCTCACTCAAAGCAATACCTTTCTCTCGAGTCTTAATGAGCGGATTGTGTCGGGAGGATCCATCCGTCGTCGACGGTGTCGTCACAGACGCAGCCGACGCCGATATCTTCTGCTTTGGGTGCTCTAGCAGAAGATACTCATCACTCGAAAACGCCTTTACGCGCGCGCTGATCGCTTCAAGTCCTTGCGAAGCGAGGTGTTGCACGTCCTCAGAGCCAAGCAGAGACATCTGATCTTTAAGCCCGTCCTGCATGCCCTGGGGCAAATAGGAGAACTGCTTTATCCTCACAGAGGATCAGCTGTAACGACTAAGGTCTAGATTGACTACAAGTGCTACCAAGTGCAGCGGGGCTGCCGTAGC